TGGCAGAGCAATTGGGCTACTATTCCATAGGTCGTAGGGTTCGATTCCCACCGTTGGCGAAGCATATTTTTCAAGCTTTCCCAGTGTGGATATACACTCGGAGTAACATCACAAACAACATGCTCAAATATTTTAAATTAAAGAGAACACATCAAAAACCCAGGTATACATAAGAAATAAAATATTGTATTCGCTTAGTTAATATTCAGCGAGTTTTAAAGTTTATTCTGAACTTAGTGGGTTCTTTAACTTTTGCCTTTTGGTGGTATAATAGACTGATTTAGATGGAGGACGCGGACGTCAAAGACGACGTGAAAATGGCGTTAGTATGGATATGCACGCCATTTTGACCCCATTTTCACGACGTCTTTGACGTCCGCGTCCTCGATCTTCCGATCTCTGATATATCATTTATACACTTCGACGAATCCCTCCGGCTCGGGGGATTCGTCGAAGTATTACCCGAAGTGATGATATTTCCATCGGAGCAAAGCCCCTCGGGAAACATCATCACTTCGGATAATATTCCGCCGAACCCCCTCGCTTCGGATATATACATGATAATAATTGCACTCCTCTTCAGATTGCAATAATTTTATCATGTATATATAATAAATTCGGAAACGAACGCGCATTTAAATTTTAGACAAACCCGAATAGTTCGCTCAATATTTCTGTTTGTCCCAATTAAGCAAATATATAGTGCATTTTGCACTGAAATTTTATTTCGACAAAATTTTGATACATACCGATGTTACTAAATGTGGTTATTTGCGAGATTGATAAGTTGACTCGTATATTATATTATCTGCATATTAAAATACCTCCTTCATCTGAAGATGGTTCAGTTGATAGCTGACTGATGGCGTCAGGGAAATTGCCCTGTAACTGGAAAATAAAATAACTTTTATTCATAATGGTAAAATTGTTACATGTATAAACTCAAATGGTCTGTGCCAGCGTTAAGTAGCATAAAAAACACCAGAGAACTGCAGATGGATAGAGATTCAACTACCTGAAAATACAAAGAAAACTTCGACGTTGCGAGGGAAGACCCTGCGCCAGGAAGTTATACGAAGGACCTTCGTTAGGTTGTTGACTTCAGGTATGTTGAATCCTATACACATCTACAGTTCTGTCATACGTGTATACAGTAAAGTATTTTTCGAACAAGTATGTGCCATGTGTAAGATAACAATGAGGTCAAAATAATTAACCAAATGTTTATATTACCATTCGTGGAGGTTCCACAAGAGAATACTTCCCAGTAAGGGACTGCCACAATTCGGGATTTTTAATCTCGTACTTGAGATATTCTTTGCCATCCTCTGTTCCATTACCAAATCTTTCCATCCAATTGCCCTTTGCCTTCAACTTCAATACATTTTTTAAATTATCTTTTCTACTATTCAAATCCCTGCTTAATATTTTGAGTTTTACTTTTTCTTTAAAATCACAGTAAATGTCGCTTATTCTGTCTAAATCTTTAAGATGAAGACCACATCGGCTCCCTATAATTTCAACCAAATCTCGACCTTCATCATGGCTGGCGAGATAATCACAAAGAAAGTTGTGCAAAAATTCATCTGGCTTCGTCTGTGAACATAAACCTATATATGGAAAATATATAAAACGAATTGGTGGATGTCATCGTAGCGAGGGGACTGTAAGTTATCAATACGAAAAAGGAAACATATGACATCGGAATTTTGCCCTAGATATACCCATTTCTTCATCAAGAATAAACTAAAAAGACCAAAAGCATCCTGCTCAGTTGTATCTCGCTAAATAAAGGCAAAAACGTCGCTATGTTATAGACTTATAGTCGTTTCACCGCCCACTATATAAACGCCCTGACCGTAGATTAAGTGAGGACAGATATGTAACTTCAGTAAAAAAGTTGTCCCATAGTCGCCATCATCCAGCAAGTGTTCCGCGCGTGATTATGCGTCATTTGATAATACGTCATTGCTTTCAAAAATGCTTTTAATACTTTTCTACAACTTTAATTGCTTCCAACAACTTTAAACATTCAACAAAGATGCTCTTGATTGTTTAATCCATAAATTTCGATCCAAAAAGGCCGGAATAAAGTGCAAAAGTTCGTGTTTTTCAGGACGCCATTTTCCTAGCAAGTTTCATGGCGTGAGCATGACGTGTACATCGAGGGAAATTTGACGACAGGAAGTCCTGTTAAGTTCAGGGCACAGATTAAGTATATACCAGATGTTTGCGAAAATTCGTTCATAATTATTTAAAAAGAATTCGCAATCATTTAACTACAGCATAGTGAGTTTATTTATGAAGTGCTCAATATGTTTCCAGTGCAATGATTACGGATTGTTTGTTTATTATATATACATTCTAACACTCACTGAAAATTTGTAAAGCTATATACTTGAAAAGAAATAAGTAAATATTAAGTTTGAATAGGAAAGTAAGAGAAACGCTATAGCCGAATTTCCACAATGTTAATCAATATTTTCTCTCAAAATATATGTTTACCAGTAAGGTTAATGTATATTCTCCAACACAAAAAAAGCGTCCACTCCTAATTTCGTAATACCGAGAAGCTTCAGAAAATAACAGGTTTGCATTGGGATGCCTTTTGATGTACTGCAGCAATGATTTTGGCAAAATTTAAATGTCATTTTCTTGTCTTTTTCCGATATAAAACATTCTAGAACCATGCAGTCGTCCGAAATGGAATTGTTCCAGCAAATACTGTACTAACCTGGCTGGCAGCTGAGAAAATTTCAAACGCACTAAGTAAATGGGTGCTAGGCTAGTGCTTAAGCTACTGTAATATTTGTTATTTTAGTTCTACAAGATTTATATAATTGTTGAATATCCTGGTTTGCTCAAATAATGACCACTATACAGTCATTGCCATATTACATGCATGCAGTGCTACAGATATAAGTTATGAAATGTTACCAACTGATACATCATACATATTTGACAAATATTTCGATGATATTGAGATGTCAAACTGTTTTTGTTATACCAGATGCATAACAGCGTGTGTGCCGTGATACGTATACTGTGCGTGTATAGCCGTCCTATACATTTTCTACGCCGGAATAGTAATATTTCTGATATATATTTATTCCATCATTAATCAAATACCGTCAAACTAAAATACAATACAATATTATAAACAATACAGTACAATACAAAACTATAGTAAAACTTCGATTACACATGCACTGTATACGGGATCATAGACAAATAAACTGACTGAATACAATTAAATATGAATAATAAAATAAATTTACGTTTGTGTATAGGACTCGTATACGTTTAGGCTTTAGCTAACAACTTTGTAAACTTCGACTAATTACGGGTCGGTACAAAACCTGGACCCCACTTTTGGACCTCCTTATGGACCCCTCTATGGACCCCTTATGGACCCCCTTATGTACCCCCTTATGGACCCCAAAAAAGACTGATAAACTGCACCAAACTATAGCCGCGGCGAATATTGGAATAGAGGAAATTAGTCTAAATTGTCACCCATTCCGCACGTTGTAACCAATAATCTATTGGCGTTGTAATGCCACTGTATTTAATAAAGTATTGGGTTGTAACAGATCGCAAAACCACAAACATTAGACAAAAGTTTTAGTTATAAATGTAATTGGCTTAGCTTGGAGAATAGAGGGGAAGTCCGAGGGAATGCGTTGGGGGATAGCGGCTAGAGGTTAGGAACAGTGCTCTCACTTTTAAGGAATTATCCTTAAGGGTAGGAATTTTGAAGAGTTTTAAGGATTTTTTTAAGGAATTTAGGTTTTTGAAGATTTTTTTAAGGAATCTCCGAAACATTTAATCATGTACTAAAAACGTTGGACGGAGGATAACCACGCCACGCAAATGAGATTTAAACTTGCATATATACGCTCATAATTACATATATTCGTATGTTATTTATGTCGTAAATGTACATATGGCTGTCTTTCCATCAAAATTCTCAAAAGTTAAATGTCAGTATATGCTGTTTCTTCTGAAATCTACAGATTTAATTTCTAAATTCTCAGGGCCATAGCGACCGGGGGAGGGAGGGAGGGAGGTAGGGAGGGAGGGTGCAACACCCCTAATATTGATCATGAACAATTTCAGGTAGATTTCCTGTAGATTTTCAGTTAAATTCAAGTAATTCTTAGGGCATAAAAAAGTGAACTCTATAATCTGAATTAACAATCAAACAAACTAAAGACGTTGAGATGTGTTGTGGCAGAGGGACAATTGCAAAATACCCTTTCAGACGATCTGGAGACTCCAAATTTCCAAAATTCTCTCAATTGCCCTTTAAACTGAAAGTAACAATACTTATCTTCATTGTTAGGCAATACTAAAATATTGGGTAGGAAAGACTCTAAAAATGCCATTTCCGACGGTCTAGAGACTTCGAATTTCAAAAAATACGGTTTTAAAAAACGTTCAGTTCGAAAAATTCAGGTAAATCAGGTGAAAAAAAAACACTTTTGCAACTATGTGATCAGGCCTTGTAGTAATTTTACCTCGATTTTACATCAAAATTCTTATTTACTTTTACCATAAGGAAAGCAATGGAAAGACATTGTCATCTGTTAAAATCATGTATAAAGATCACTCACCGCCGCAGAGCCTTTACTTTCACACAAATATTTGTTAAATAACATATTTATAATCCCATATTACCACTATTATCCCC